CATAAAAATGCACTTATGCATGCGTCTAGCTGTCTCGCTTCCACAATTAGCTCTAATTGTTTTGTAGTCGCATTTGTAATGCTCTCTGTTGTTGTTCCTGTTGCTTTGAGTCACGAAATGTGCATTCAAAATGCGAAGCAGAGCAATCGCAATTATTTCGAAATAAACGCAACATATTTTTTTGATTGTAGTTTTCGTTTTCGTGCGTTGTTGCTGGCTTCCGTGTCATTATATGGAAAGTAAAGAGGAGAGGGTTGTGGGGAGGATCTGGGCGTACACGAGTCGACGACGAGACATTGTCGCACTTGTCGCGCATCCTTCGCTGCCATTAAGCTGACAAATTGTTATCGCAACCGCCAGAGTCGTAAATTAAGACAGACTCGAGAGAGTGGAGCAAACGACGACTTGGGATAGCGAAGGCAAGCGCAGCCTTTCACCCACTTTGGGCCACTGGGGCAATGCATCATGCAGTTGTCAAAAGAGTTGATAGCAGCGGGCAAGCGAAAGAGAGAGAGAGAGAGAGAGAAAGGGAGAGGGGCAGTAACTGACACAGTCGTGGTAAAGAAAGCAGCAGCAGCGGCGGCTGCTCCACTTTCGGCTGCGTTACGCAATCCCAACTCGATGTCTCTGCGTCCGTTGTCCAGCATCATCGTTGTTGTTGTTGTTGTTGTTGCTGCTGCTGGTCGACAGAGACACTCCACACATTGTTGGAGAAAAGCAGCCAAGACACAAGAGTCTGGGCCCCAGGTCTGGAGCCAGTCGCTTGCGTCTGGCCAGCGCTGATTGGAGTTTCATTACCGGAGAGCATCGCAGCCAGACAACCAGCAGCCAAGCTGGAGAAATGCCTTTCTGTGTGTGTGCCCCTCAATGCTCCCCTGGCCCACAGTCTACAGCGCAAGTGATATAAATCAAATGTCTTGAAACAATACATCAAGTGAAGGCGCTCGCGATGACGTCGTCAGCCACTCCGAAGTGCATCTCACTCGCTAATGGCCTTTGGCTCCGCTTGTTCGTTATACCCTGTACCCACTGAACATGGCTAGAAATTTTGATTTCTGGCAAACTTATGTGACAGGCAGAAGATGGCAGCTATGTCAGTATGAACCCTTTGAATCTTGAACCATAAGAGCTACAGACTTGAAATTTGGAAAGTTTCTACTTCTGTATCCTTTGCAAATCAAATTTATTTCAATTCATCCATAGCTTAATACGTTTGCACAAAATCGATACACTATAAAAATCGATATCGATTATGAGATCAGTTGTTTTGACCATATTTCGGAGCTCACTTTACCGAATTTATTATGAAAGACACAGTTTTTATCTGGGTTTTTATGAATGGAAAGCAGGAAGTTCGCTCCGCTACAAAGAGGTATCTTCTAGTCGGACAGTCCCGGCTAGAGCACTCCTTTTGTTGTTGTCGCTCGAGTGCTGGAACAAATGTCAATGGTATTGACATTTTCGTTACGTTTGCTCAAGCGATTCCAAATCTCAAATTGACATGAGAAACTTTTGAAATCACGTTACATTTGGGGATACCAGATTTAGATGCGGTTAGCTACATTTTTTCTTTTGCCCCAAACTGGGAGAAGGGCACACACTTTTCCTCTATTTTGTTTTTAATTTTTGTTTTGTTTTTTTTTTATTTTTTTTTGTTTTGTTTTTGGACGGGTTTTTCTTTGACATTTGTAAACACTTCCGCGTGCTCTCTTTTATTCATCTGATTTTTGTTTTTGTTGTTGTTGTTGTCTCTTGGATGTAATTGATGGTTTCGTTTTGTGATTGGCGCTGATTTGTGTGCGTTTCTGGTTACATTTAATGAGAGTTATTAGTGGGTTAGTTTGTGTTGTTTGTTTGCGTCGAAAGCAATTAGCTATCTGAGCCAATTAGGCATCTGTTGCATGAGATAATCAAATGTGAAGAATGACTTAATTATCGGAATACTGTATTAAAGACTCCGCACGGTGCTTATAAGCCAAATATTTCATTGATAATTGTTATTGTTTTAGATACATTTATATGTCTTAGAAAACTTCGTATTATCAGATGTGAAGATGTAACTGTATATGATATATATGCGAAAATGTTTGAACAACCAATAATTTTCATTATTTTTAATTTTTCTTTTAGATATTTTTATGTATCATAGATAACTTTATATTATCTGAAGTGAAATGTGACTTAATTATGAAAATACTTTATTAAAGATTCTGCATATATATATATATATTATTGATTTGGTTTTTTCAGATACTTTTATAACTTTGTATTATCAGATGTGACGAATGACTGTATTATTAAAATACATTATTAACGATTATTTATTTTTGAACAACTCGAATTGTTTATCATTTCCCTTTCTTCAGATACCTTTATGGATCTTAGATAACTTTGAATTGTGCTACAATAATTTATTATTTACTATTATTATTTATCATGCAATTTTTTTGTATCTTATAGATGATTTCATGCTTAGACCTTAAACCGTTAACCCTTACACATCTTTCAGATACTTTTGGATATTTAAAACACACTTGTTGTATCTTTCATATACTATTGTTGATAATTTAAGATTTTCTGCCTGTCAAGTTAAAACTATAGATAATATTCAATTGAAATGCCAATTTATCAAACCTAAATATGTTCAATAAAATTGTTATTTTATTTAATCATAATATTCAAATGTAGTTCAAGTGGGATTCACAGAAAAACCGAATTGATGTATTAAAATTCTTACAAAAGGTTTTAAAATATAAATAAAAATGTAAGTGATGCCTGAAATGTAATCAATTTGACTCACAAAACGTCGACCAACAGATCAGAATATTAACGCTTAGCATATTTCTATTTATAAGCACCTCATGACTAGTCTGGGAATTAACTCACTTGCTGACAACACTGAGAGCCCCAGTTGATGTAACTCCTGCCCGGCAACATAATCTATCTTCGTTCATTGACAACAACCTACGACAACCGTAATTACATTAATCCATTGGCACGCTTCGTCGGCTCTCGTTTAGCTTTTCCGATCTTCCGCTCACCCGCTGCGTCATGAATATCAAATAACCAATCAACGCATAAAAATTCTGCACTAATCCAAATGCAAAAAAAAAAAAGAAGAATAGGAATAAAATAAGAAGGCAAATCAATCAATGGATCGAACCCGGGACAAGGACGCACAGCAGCAGCAACCCAAATCAATCAAACTTTTTGTGTGCTCAACAATATTTTAAACTTTTTTAGCCGCTGTTGACTTAAGCCACGTGTAAGTTGCCATGTTTGTCATGCCGCACAATGACGCACACACAAAAAAGGTGACAACAACAACAACAATAACGAGGAGAACAACATTTAAGGCATATTCATAACGAACACCCCATCTCAACGGCCAGACAATAGCTCTAAATAAACTCAACCCCCTTTGCGGCATGCATATTCGCATATCTCATCTAGTCTCTCTGTCTGGCCAACTGTGTCCGTCTCTCTCTCTCTTTTTGGCAGATAAAATTTCATAAAATTTATGCAAATACGCCAGGAATCGCTCTGCTTTTGCTTTCTTATCAGCAAATTAGCAAACAGCCGGCAGGCGCTGGCAGTCCACGATTGATTATCCCAAATGCAAATTGAATCTGCAAAAAAAGCCGAAAAAGTGAAATCTCCATTTATACGATTTTTTTTTCTTCTGCGGCATATCATTTGTCAACTCTGGCAACAACTTGCAGCGTTTGGCAAATCGCACAGAAACTATGATTAATTTGCACGTGATTTGAGCTGGAGCCGGCAGGATTAGCAGCAGCATCGATACCCTCTGCTGGCCACTGTCCACTGTCCACTCTCCCTGGGCAACTACTGTCTGCTGATGTTTGCATAAATGTTTAAGCTGTTGAGTCAACACAGAGGGGGGCACTGCAGCCACACAGAGAGAGGGAGAGTAGAGAGCCCGACGCGACGCGACGCGTCGCGATAATTAATGATGATATGAAGGTATAGCAGCTATGAGACATTAGCATGATAAATGAGCAGATGCCCAATTGACCAGCTGACCAGTTGACCAGCTAACTGGATCCTAGCCCACATTGCTGCATTTGCCACACATTTGCAACATTCACTGAAAAATTGTGAAATTTCCAACACTTTCGTTAGATTAAAGCAATTTATTCATAATTTGAGAAATGATTTTTGTGTACTCGGCAGACAAGACGTTATATATAATAGTTATATTATTATATATATAATGCATGTAATATAAAATATATATAATATATGGAAGCAAAATAGCTGGCAGAGTTTTAAGCTCCCAAGTTGCTAAATTCTTTTATTTATATATATTAAATGTTGTAAAGTCGAAAACCGGTTATAAAAAGGTTCAGAAAACTTTAGTACTTTACAACAGTGTAAAGTTTCAATCGAGCCTGGTTGGCGCGTAGGAAAACATATTTAGAAATATATAACACAAGAATAATGTTGCCAGTTTTAGATCTTAAATTGATCTAGAGGCAAAACCATGAATATAGAACCAAATCTCGTGAATATCTGATGTCATTTGACCGAGTTATGGATGTGGGAAATTTTGACCTACACATGACTATATGGGATATTTGATGGTACCATTTTTACATAAATAAGGACCAAGAATAATGTTATTTCTAAATTGATCTAGAGGCCAATCCATGAGCAAAGAGCCAACCCTCATGAAAATCCAAGTTAAGGGGGTAAAAAATTTGGACTTATGTCTACATAGGATATTTGGGGGTACCATTTTTTCCTGAATTTTGACCAAAAGTAATGTCTATCTAGAATAATAGCGGGTATACTAACTAAGGTAACAGTGAAAAGCTCTTACGGTATGGGCTGTGTGATCAGACAGTCAGTCAGCCAATCGGTCAGTCAATCAGTCAGTCAGTCAGGACAAACAGTTTTATATTTAGAGATAATAAAAATAATAACTCCCTTTTTGGCCATTTTCAATATAGAAATAACCAACGTTGAAAGCGAACCGGCCAGCTGAATATTTAAATTTATTAGTTTCATTTATATCAGATTCATATTTACAGGACGCAAGCTGGGGGTTAAGGGGTTCATTTTCTATTATCGTCTCGTGTTTTACAATTTGGACTCTGCGGCCAATTCGTGCAGCTTAGAAACAAGAGCATCGCCCAAATAAGTTTGACCATAAAGACTGCGATCCATATCATTAAAGTTTTGGCCGAGGGCGTAGGGGGTCGTGTCGTTGGTCCTCAAGAAGTAGCTGCCACGTGCTGTGGGACTGGTGCGGTAGCCAAGCAGCTCCAGCTGCTGATTGGGTTGGCATGAATTCATTATAAAGCTGAGCAGATCCCGGCAGCGGAAGGCCCAAAAGCCTGTATGCGAGTGAATCGACTCGGCATAGTATGCCGCGGCGCGTTCATGATAGCATTCATGGGTGGATACTGCGGATGAAGGTTTCAAGTGCCGATTCGCGTTCAATTCTAGTCTCAATTTAGGCAACTTACATTCGTTGACGGGTCCACAATTGGGCTGGACTACGCCCTTGTTGGGATAAAAGTCGACATGTCCAATAGGCAACATCAGACCGTGCAGGAAAATATCTGAATGCACAACGTCCACAAAGTTGGCATCGGTTTTATCCAGGCGCTCGTCCTTATTGCTGGTGAGGAAAAGCGGCTTTGCCGGATCTAAGGCCGTAATGTGCGCCACTTGTACATTCATCTGTGCCAACAATTTGGACGCAAATCCTGCCACATGGGCGCCCAGACCGAAGCCAATCAAATGTAGATTTGATGGATGCAGGCGCCGATTGTGCATTAGTTGCACCAAAAAGTGGGCCAAGCAGCGACCCACAAAATGGGAATTATGAACGGCTTCCGTATAGCAGGGATCAGCCGCAAGCCTGGCGTAATCAATAGAGATTACATCAAGATCCGGGAAGCGTAGAAACTCCGGCAGCAGCTCAAGACTGGGCGACTGTGTGCGATCACTGGCAAAGCCGTGTATCAGTACTTTCAGCGGCCTTGACGTATTGTATTTGAAACCGTCTTGACCATTTAGGATTAACTTACGGCCATAGGGCACGGCAGCGCTATTGAAATCGGTTGATTGTTGGGTTACTAAATCAGCTGAAAGCTACCTCTGCTTGCTTACTTATACAGCCAGAAGGTAATATTCGAATTGGGACACGAATCATCAGACAGCGTAAAGCAATCTTGCGCGCGGACTCCGATGACAAGTTCAAAGCTCAGACAGCCTGTTAAAGTACATTTAAGATGCAAGAATCTGTGCGAATAACTCGATTATGTTTTTCTAGGTACCCAGTAAGAGCCACAGCTTCAACATTTCAGTTCAGGATACTGAAGACGACTGAAGACGAGAGCTGTATTCTGTTAGTCTTTTAAGTAAACTGTCGTTGAAAAAGCATGACCTATATGGTTAGGTAAGCTTTTTAGACAACTTTCTTCCGGGTCGAGTTTAATTTGTTACACAGAACCATGACCGAAAATGTTCAAAGCCATTTCTCAAGCTCTACACACAAAAAACGTCATGTATACGATTTTGTTAATTCCGCTCTCATGTGTGGATAATGATTGAATATTTGTATTCTAATATCTTTATTATTGATGTATTAATTATTTATTTATTATATATTTTTAATTATTTATTCATTTTAACACAGATTTCTTGAAGCATTTAACGACAGGCCTGCTCATGTGGCAACTGGACCGGACAATGCCGGGTAACAGTCAACGCGTAGGTTAAAGTGAATAGAAACCATAAAAGGAATACCTCTAAGTTAATGAGGATTAAATATTAATATTTTAATAGCCACACGGAAGAGAATATGACTTGCTCCCAAAAAGTGAAACACATTAAGAAAGATAACTCTCAATGTATAAAGTATCTATATAAGTCAATAGAAAGTCATGTACAGTTGCAATATACCCCAAATATGACCAAAGAATAGTTATCAACCGATTGATTGCAATTGATAATGCTCTTATGAAACAGAATATTTAATTGTTCAACTAATCCAATTACCCAGACATACTCTCAACTGCTTCAGTTAAAGTAATTTAGCTAAGCTGAAGCTTTTACGAATATTAAATCCGCTAAAAAGGCTTGCTTTAACTTGGGGTCTCTTTAAATACAATATCTTTAAAGTACTTTCACTCCGAAGGTCAAACAATAAACTTGGCAACTTGACCCAATTCAGCTGAAAGCAATTTGCTTCATTCTTGAGCGCTGCTTAAAGTCCCCGGGGGCTGGCTGATAATGTGGCTTCGCACCTTAATGTGGTCACATTTGGGTTGATGGCATTCACTCCGTGAGCCACTCACTCGTTCAGTCATTCTCTCAGTGAGTACTCGAAACTCGCCACTTGCCACTCACTCGCGCCACATTGCGATGCGGCTCACGTGTGCCGTTGATGGCGACGCCGTTCATTGAATTACGCACAAGTTGCCAACTGACACAACTTTTTATAACCCAGTCAAGTTTTGAAGCGATGCTATTTGAAAAGTAGCTGACAGGATACATTGAGACAGTCCGACTGTCGGGCGGACGAACGGACGGACGAACCGACAGACGGACGAAGGGATGCACAACTCAACTCGAATTGGCAGCAGCTCTCCGGCGACAATTTTTGGGTTCACACTTTTATTGATAGGGTTCCTTTGAATTTACACACACAAAGAAAAAAAGAAAAGCTTAAAAATCATTTAGCCTTTTTTATACCGTAAATTTATTGAATACGGCTAAAAAGGGTAGAATGTTTTTTGAGCAAAATTCGAAAATTAGAAGAGCTAGATACAAAATAGTTGGTATGTACGTTCTCTTTTAGTACACATATTACAAGCAATTCACATTTTACAAGAAAACGTATCATTTACATTTTTACATGCCATTTTTAAAGCACTAAACATTTTTATAAAAATCCGGCTTTAAACACCGATGCTTCCAATGAAGTAAATAAGGAGCACAGGCACTGCATACAGTAATGTTGGACACTGCTGAATAAAGCACTCTATCTTCTTAATAATACGTTTTTTAATTGGTCCAGTGACCTTTTAAACACAATTTGTTTTTTTTTATTTTATATGGCCGGTCTTAAACAATTTTTTTTTGGTAAACGATAATAATTCTTTTTCAAATGCAAATTCCTTGATCTGAATATTACCTTTGTAAGAAATAAAATAAACAAATTTGAAGACCCAAATATTTTGAAACATGTTTAAGACTAGGTCATATCTTAAGAACATATATGTATATGTAAGAAATAAAATAAACAAATTTGAAGACCCAAATGTTTTGAAACATGTTAAAGACTAGGTCATATCTTAAGAACATATATGTATATGGTTATCGAAATATATAATTTTTCATTGCAAGTAGTTTTAATGGACCCAAATCTTTTTGAATAGGGTCGTTCTAATTCCAAATATTAAGAAAATATTGGAAGCATTCAAGAACGCAAAAAAGAGGTTGAAAAGGAATTAAACTTATTAAGCTTAATTATAAATGTTTCAAATAAACTTAATTTGGAGAACTGAAAAAATGTACTGAAGTAATTTTAGTTTTTTTAGTAAACCGCAGAAAGGAATGTCAAATTAGAAAGAAGGATAAGCAAACCTATTTTTCGATTCAGCTCACTCAGTCGCTAATTATTGCTCATTATAAGTTATTAATAATTAATAATTGTTGAAGCTTTTAAAGGTAACTGAAAGCGTCCTAAGATAAGATTATTCTACATCGTCCAAGGAGTTTCAAATCCAATAAACAACCTCAAGCCAGTTGTTCTTTCATCCTACTTTTATTTACGGCTTATCAATGTGTGATTAAAGTCCCACTAAAGAACTTATACTTAATATAAGAGCATTGTATCTAAAAATGCTGTATAAATTCTGAGTTTCTTTAAATATCAAAAATAAACCTTTTTCTCGCAGTGTAGAGTTCTTGGAAAGCAGCCACCCGACTCACTTGCCACCTGTTGAGGACCGGGACCTCTGTCCGTGCGCTGATATGAAGCAAGGCTTATGTGGCGCTTCGGGTTTTAAGTTTAAGTTTGAGTAATTGCCACGTACGCGGCGGGTGTTTAACTTTTAATTGAATTTGATCGAATGCATGTGATAAAATTAATTGAAGAGCCACAGAGAAAAGCATTGGGAACGTAGGCAAGGAATACCGAGAACTAGGAGAACTTTTGGAGCGAGGTAAACAAACCAAAAGCTGCGCTGTGCCCACTTGACCAAAAGTTTTTAATTGACTTTCGAGCGTAAAATTCGAGCAGCACATAAAAGAGGTTCCATAAAAGGGGGCATGTTGGGGGCGGGGCACAACTTTTTGGGGCTCCGCATCTCGTTAGCATATGTCGAGCGAGTCGTGCGAGTTGAGGCTTCTCGTAGCCAGGTAATTGATGTTGCCAATTTGCGTTCCGGCCAAAAACTTTCGTTGTGTAGTTTGCGGTGTTTCATTAGCGGTTGATGTTTGGCAACCGCCAAATGGCAACTGGCAGCTGGCAACTGTTTATTTGGCAGCTGCTGTTCTTGGTTAACATGTGGGCGTGGCTGTGGATTGGACGCACCAGTCGGAACTTTTAAGTGGATGTGTAATAACTTTTAAGCAGCGGCAAATTTGATTTATGATTTATCAACCTGCTAAAGTGGCTGCCTCAGCCGCCAACACATTTGCCACATTTCGTGATAATTTTACGCAGCAGCTCAGTAACTGCAACAGTAGGCAGTAAACTGGGAAATGCCTCTTAAAAAGGCAGCTCATAAACCTCAGCCACAAGCTCCGAGCAGCCGCAGCAGCCTCAAAGTATGCTACGCAAATGGCTTCGCCAATTTATAAAGAAACATTTTGCCGGCTTAAGGAAAATTTCGAATACACTTATGTGTTGCGCAGGTACCGCTGGTAGCCCAAAAAACCGGAGCTGCAAAGCGGATGTGGCCAAATTTGGCATTTTCATAATTTCCGCTCGAGTTTGTTTTCCTTGCGGTTGAAAGTATTTGCCTTAAGACGGCGCCCACGTTGCCAAGCTGCCGAGTTACTTCCTTTTCCTGTTCCGCGGCAACATCTGAAGCAAGCCCGTTTATTTATGGTTTAATAAGTCTCTTTTTCTTGTCCGTAAAAAAACGAACGGCAAATAAAATATAAATATGTAGTCATGAGAATAACAATAAGCTGAGGCCCACGCCAGAAAATTCATCTAAGCCCTCAGATTAGGATTCAGCCTGTTGATGCTATGAGCAAAGCATTTAGCATAAAAAATAAGCATTATAATAAATCTAAAGCGCTTTTAGCTCGAATATGGTCCTTATATTAGGGAGTCTGTGCTAATTTCATTTAAGCAACTCAAATATCAAAATAAATTGAGGAATAAAAGGATTTCTTTCATGTTTCCAAGATTAGATGCCCCTGCCAACATAGTAGCTTAATTCTTGCTATATATGGTATAAACTGATCCAATTTTCAATTTCTATGATATGAAAATATGTAATTTATCGTTTAAGAAGATTTTTTGAGATATCCCGTCCCCGTCCGAGTTGCCTTAACATCCATTCTTATTTATATATTTTTATTTATTTATTGCCAGACTGAGTTTTTCATATTTATACATCACTAAAACAAAGAAAAAGAAATAACGAGTAGATTAGTTTTAGAGCAGGGCAAAGACAGAAGTCTAAAATGAGAAAACGAAAGTGAGACAGAGATGGAGTTAGGGAGCCTTACATGAATTTATGAGAATCGCATAGTGGGGCGACACATACGTCAATACATACTAAAAATTTTATGCACACACATATATATAAATACACTAGCGGGTATACACCGGAGCTATCCATGACAAGTTTTGTTCTTAAAATATTAATTATAACTTTTTTATTCATCCAGTTCCCGCCCAGGAAAAATTTAATCTGCCAGGACAATTTGAACTCAACGTTTAATAAAAACAATTTTTTAAGTTTTTTATAAATATTGGGCGACCACCAATAAGTCAGACAATTAGGACAAAAAGTTTTATAGATAGAAATATATTTAACTATGTACTCACCTGTAAATTCACACGCACCTCTTTTTTATTCGTCATCTATCAGTAAACAGAAGACGAACTTTTATATAAACAAATCACTGAAAGAACAAAAGAGCAAAAATAATGTTTATCAGCTTAAAAAAGTAAGTTAATAAGTGAGAATTGCTTAGTATAGAAATATTTATGAATACGTATCTTGTTCATTTTCAGCTCAGCTCAAAATACACACATATTTACAGACATGCAGAGATGTACATATATGTATAC